AGAGGCCCATGGTCAGGTGGGGTGATGGGACACGTTCATCCTCCTCACCATACAGCTAGAACCTCATTTCCACCTGAGGAAAGTGGCCGTCCCAAGGTGGGCAGTGACTTGCCCAAGGTCACTCAGCTGTCCACTGGCACTGCAGCTCAGCCCAGGGCCTCTTCACTCCGTGACCTCTGTCAGGAGAGGGAAGGTTTGGGGATTAAGGAGCCTGCAAGAAGCAGAGAAGGGCCGGGTGCGGTGGCTCAAGCCTGTAATCCCAGCACTTTGGGAGGCCGAGACGGGCGGATCACAAGGTCAGGAGATCGAGACCATCCTGGCTAACAGAGTGAAACTCCGTCTCTACTAAAAAATATAAAAAACTAGCCGGGCGAGGTGGCGGGCGCCTGTAGTCCCAGCTACTCGGGAGGCTGAGGCAGGAGAATGGCGTAAACCCGGGAGGCGGGGCTTGCAGTGAGCTGAGATCCGGCCACTGCACTCCAGCCTGGGCGACAGAGCGAGACTCTGTCTCAAAAAAAGAAAAAAAAAAAAAAAAGAAGCGGAGAAGTCTCTTCCATCCCCTGAGGTGAGCAGGGTCAAAACCCTAATAGAAGGTCAGGCGCAGTGGCTCATGCCCATAATCCCAGCACTCTGGGAGGCCGAGGCAGGAGGATCACTTCAGACCAGGAGGTTGAGACCATCCCGGCCAACATGGTGAAACCCCATCTCTACAAAAAAATACAAAAAGTAGCTGGGCATGGTGATGTGCGCCTGTAGTTCCAGCTACTTGGGAGGCTAAGGTGGGAGGATGACTGAGCCCAGGAGGTTGAGGCTGCCGTGAGCTGAGATAGTGACACTGTACTCCAGTCTGGGCAACAGAGTGAGATCCTGTCTCCAAAACAACAACAATAATAATAACAGAAGGGGTTTGGCATCTGGGGTACTTAATTGGAACAAAGGGAAGAGACCGAGGACATCTGAGTTCCATACCTTCCCTCCTGCCACCATCCTTCACTGCTGGGACCCTGCCGTCTTGATATTCCTGATCGAAGATGATCACTCCAGGAAGCCCATTGGTAGGAGAGGGGATCATCACAACCGCAGCAGCACTAACTGAGTATTCCAGGTGCTGGGCACTCCAAAGTGCTTTTCATGTGTGAGACCATTTAACCCACAGGACAATCCTATGAGGTGACTACTACTGTCATCTTTATTTTCCATATGAGAACATAAAGGAGCCCAGAGAGGGTGAGTAACCTGCCCGGGGCCACAGAGCTGTCAAGAGTTGGAGCCAGGATCCAAGGCATGCCGTGTTCTCGGCCATCTCAACAGCAACTGTTCAACGCCTACTGTGTGCTGGGCCAGATGCGGGGCACAGGAGGCAGGCTGCTCCCGGGGTGCCACTGCCAAGCACTGCCTCAATGGTGCTTTCACTACTTTAGAAGTGTGAAGATAATCACGTTTTAATTATTCTTCCACTCACATACAGAGCACACATTCAGTACCAGGCACCCAGGAAACCACTGGTCACATCACTGCTAATCCTTGCAGCCACCTGCTATGTGGCTGTTAATACATCCCCATTTTGCAGATGAGGATACTGAAGGGACAGAAGCTGCCTTGCCAAGGCCACAAAGCACTGGATGGGCTCACCGAGGTGGCCAGCGGCACATTCCAGGCCAAAGGCACCGCCCCAGCCACTGGTCGGGGGAGTTCAAGAGCAGAGAATGTCTAAGGAATGGTGGGAAATGCCAGCCACCAACCCAGGGCAAGCTGTGCCCATCCAAGGGCCGGGCACAGACTGGGAAAAGCATTGGGTGCTTTTGATATTTTGAAAATTAAACCATCAGGTAGCCTGAGAAGAGTCCAAAATCACCCAGGATCACTGCAGGGGACACGGTAGTAGCCAATTCTGGCCCATAAGCCCCCTGATGTCAGATGGGATGGGCGGGAGTCATGTCTGAGCTTGGCACAAGAAGTAAGGAACAGAAATGAACTTATAAGCCTACTACATGCCTGGGCTGGCTATTCATCTGCATCCTGCCTGTTTCCAAAGAGAACTGAGGACACCAATGGTAAAGCTGATTGAGAAAAGAACAGGAAGTCAGGGTTAAAGGAGAAAAGAGGCAGTCAGTTGGGAGGCCTGGTGTTCACCAGCTCAAGGCCTTGGACAAGTTTTTCTTAATTTCCATGGGCCTCAGTTGTTTAATCTGTGAAATGGGGGTGGTAACCCCTACATCACAGGCTGCTGAGAGGCTGAGTAAAATAATCCACATGAAAAGTAAATGGCAGTCATTGTCATCAGCCGCCATCCCTGGGCCCACCTATGAAGGCCACACGTTTGTGGTGATTGTCCTGAGGCTGGCTGTGATAAATATCGGTTGACAAGCAAGGGCTCACATGACAAGTTCATTCATTCCCTAAATGTTTGCCAAGGGCTTACTAGGTGCCAGACACAGTTCCAGGGCCTGGGAATATACTGTAAGGCAGACAAGTGTATAAAGGGAAGAAACAAGCTACAATAAAGTACATGGCAGATGAGCTTGTTTCTATGAGGTTTTTTTTTAAAGCGTATATATTCATGTAAAGTTAACATGAATGAAAATGTTAACAGTGGGTACCTCTGTGTGGTACAATTCCAGGTGATTTTTCTTTTTTTTTTTTTTTTTTTTGCCCTATCTGTAGTTTTCACAATTGACATGTATTAAACTAAAAGAAAACATGTATCAAGGGTATTTTTTAAAACTGGCAGAGATTCCTGGCACTCAAGGCAAAAAAAGAAAACACTAAGAAACATCTCCCATACGTGTTCCTCAAAAGCAGTGGTTTTTCTCAGGACTAGAGTTTTACACATAGGACACTGAGGGATGTCACTGAAAACGCCCTGCAACTGTTTCCCCATAAATGCAGACACGGCACGCCACAGGTGTGCCCTAAATGTTCGTTGAGTACATGAACAAGTGATCGAATACCAAAGCTGTTCCTCTAGAGCAGTGGCTCTCAACCAGAGGTGATTTTTGTCCCCCAGGGAACACCTGGCAATGTCTGGGAACTTGTGTTTCCTGTTAGGGCCAGAACTTCTTTTGTAACTGTCAGGGCCGGGGGTACCCCTGACATGGAGTGGGTAAAGGCCAAGGACTCTGCTAAACATTCTACAGTGCACAGGACAGACTCCACAACAACAAAAATGTAGCCCCAAATGTGAATCGTGGTGAGGTTGAGAAATCCTGTCTAGGCATGCGGCCAGCTGCTGCATCAAAGGAGTAACCTGAGCCCAGGGAACCGGTTGCGAAACGCTCTTTCTCTTTCCCCTCTCAATTCAGGAGGCCTCATAATTCAGAGCATAAATCTGGATTTAGACCACCTGTAATTTCAGTCATATATCTCTGAATGGCAGATCATGTCCCATGATAATACAGAAATGAGACGGTACTTATCGGCTCGGTGTTAAGCCCGTGGTGCCTGATTGCTTGATAATTATTATTGTTATCATGGGCTTATCTTTTAGAATATGGATTGCTTTCTACTAGATATCGGAGGTTTTTTCTATGCATTTCTCCCCTATTAAGCTGAAAACTCCTCAAAGGCCCTACCCCATGTAAATTCCCTGGGTACTCCTCACCTCTAGGGTGTTTGGTAGAGCATCAGCTCACAGTAGGCACTCAGTATAACACTGGACTCTATAAGCCCCATCTTCCTGGGCCTCAGAGTGCAGGCAAGGCCTGCAAATGGCATCGCACAGGGAGTATGGCAAGTGTGGCCCCAGTCTCAGCCTAGAAGAGGAACTCTTCTGTCCCATGTCCTCTTCCTGCACCCTTTCCTATCCCCTCCTCACCCACAGAGGACACGCAGCAGGGTTGAAACTCACTTGCGTTCAGGGCACCACCATGTCATCCTTTGGGGGAAGGGAGAGGGCCACTGATTAACTCAGAAAGGGCACAGCTCATCAGGAGAGAGAGAGCCGCTAACAGCCCCGGAGGTCAAGCAAACAAAACTCAAATGGGAGGAGGTGCTGACCCACAGGTGCGCAGCCCCGCCAGACTAGGATCCCCTCCGGGGCAGGGTCTGTGTCCCACCCACCTCTCCAAACCTAGCCCCGAGCTGGAGGGGCTCTCTGAGAATATTTGTCACTGAGTGGGCAAGGATCCAGACACCGGGCTCCACAATGGCAGGGTTTGCAAATCTGGATTTGAAGGGCAGCTCCACCCCTGAACTGCTCCTGGTTTTCTTCATTATTTGGAATAATACCTGCCTCACAGGAGTGAGAAGTTTAAAAAGAGGTGATAATGATGATGATCATGGCGATAATCACAACCGGGCGCTGCCTTTGGGCCGGGCACTGTTTAGGGTACTCCCCGTGTAATAACCACTTAATCCTCATGGTAAGACACCTGCCAAGTGCCTGGCCAGCATTTGGTTCATTATAAGCACCCCATAAATACAATTATTCCACCTACAAGAAAAAAGGAGTCCCTCTTTTCTGTCCAACATTTAACTTGAAAAAAAAAGCGGGCGGCGGGGTGCGGGGGGAGCGGAAAAGAGAGGCAGAAGTCCTGGTAGAAGGAGAGGAGGACTCGGGGAATCCGGGGCGGGATGGGGGCACTGAACGTGGGACGAGGGTGGGGAAGTGAGATGTGTGGTGTGCTAAAAAACAGAGGTGCCCCTCGGGGGAAGCTCGCAAATTGCGAAGATCCAGTATTAGGAGACGAGTGACTACAGAGATTACTTTCCGAGCGTGGGAACCGGCAGGGCCCCCGAGGCACCCTACTCGGTCGCAGGATTCGGGAAGAGGGGTCCCCTCGCTAAAGTAAGGTGACTACCTGAGGGAGGAGGCTAAGGGATCTCAGTGGGAGAAAGGCCTGTGTGGGGGTCGGAGGGGAGCCCGTGAGGAACCCGGCGGTGACCCAAGCAGCTTGGGGGTCCGGCAGGGAGGGAGTGCGGCGCTGGGGACGCCCAGTGACTCCCAGGCTCCCGGGCCCCAGGCGCGCGCTCGGGCCGTCCCGGGCCCCGTGCTCACTCACCCGGTCCCGGTCCAGGGGCGGGACAGGAGGGCGCGGCGCAGCGCGGACGCCGGGAGCAGCATCTCTGGGTCGCAGCGGGGTTGTTTGCTGGCTCGTCCGCCCAGGCGCCGCTAGAATGCACAGCCCCGTCCAGAGCGCACCACCTCGATCCGCGGGGGGAAACGGATCACGCCGGCTGTCCTCCGAGCTCGGGATCAGCCGAAGTTCCACTATATTTAGCTTCGGCTAATAAAAAGTATCTGTTCGTGCCATAATAGGGGCATAACACAACACAAGGCAAGGGAACCCGAAAGCGAAGTCCTGAAATGCATGCGTTTTCCCCTCCTCTCGTTATGGTATGACCCGAGAGGGCGTGAACCCCTCCGACCAATCAGAGTGACACACCAAAGCTTCTGAACCAATCAACGGTGCGGTCCTGTTGCAGCCTTCCAAAGTGGAGCAGAGAGGGGCTGAATAGAGCCAATGAGATAACCGGAATGGGACACGTGCTGAAGCGGGGCGGAAGGATTCGCTGCGCCCGGCCCTCTGGTGTGTGCCCGGAGTCCGGTGGGCGTCAGACTGGCTTCTTTCAGGCCGCCAGTGGTTTGTGCGAGGCCAGAAACCTGTCCGTTACCAGACTCCTCGACCCCGCAGGGCCACAGCGCGGCCAGCCCCCTGCTGCTTCCCGGGCACTGCCCGTGGAATGAGCCTGCCTTCCAGCCTCATTGGCCAGGACCCAGCCGCCCTCCACCTACCCGCCAGGCCCAGCGCTGGCCAGCTTCTTAGCTTTCTTGCAGATTACGATCAATGCAAGATAAAACCTGAGCTGGCCAACGCTTAGCTTTTCATTTTAAAGCCTTTGGCCGCAAAACCATGTTGTTCCTGAGCCTTTTACCCCCAAGTAAAAATGTCAGCTTTGCAAAATGTTGTGTGCTTGGTAAACACTCGAATGCTATTTAAAACTTGGATTCTGAAGTCTTCTCTGATGACGAGGTCTCAGGGACCCAATCTATTCCTAAAGTAATGTTACGTTTCCTTACTCTCTCTTCTAATTTGTTTATATTTCTTCCAGCAGCATGAACCGGGCACCTGCTTAGGAGTCAGTTCCGATGCTGATTCTGGTTCCTCAATAGGGCACTAGGCAGACTACAGATCCTTTCTGGGCCTCAGTTTCCTCATCTGTAAAACGGAGGTAATAATACCCAACTCACAATGCCCCCATGATCTTAGGCCACTTCTTTTTCTCCGGATTACACCATTTAAGATACTTTGGGAGAATTTAAACATTTAAATGAAGAGTTGGGGAGGGAAAAGTGCCAAGTATTAGGAATGGCAAAAAGCAACTTGGAATTGGTGGCGGCTATTTGTCTTCATCTTTGGAGAAGACCCTAGACAGGTGGGCTCAGTTCACATTAGGGCAATGTTGCCCTGAACGTGCCCATTAACAAGAAAAACTAGAACGTTGGATAGTGTCAAATGTAGAGCCTGGGGAGGTGACCTCGTGTGGGCACGTTGGAGAGCCTGGAGAAATGGGAACTTTGTGGTTAAAAGGCCATCAGTTCCAAACCAGGCCAAGCCAGTTACTGAGCCCGTGATGTCTCGGGTCCTCTCTTCCCCTTCAGTAAAATGTGTGTAATGATTCCTGCTTTATCATCTTCCAAAGCTTTTATTGTGAGCTACAAATGTAACAGGTGATATGACATCCCCTATTTTATGGCTAATTAGCTAATGAGTTTGAGTGTTTCTGTGACCCTCAGTCCTCTTACCCCTCCCCCAACAGCAGATTCATCTTCTATTTAAAAACAAAAACAAAAACAAAAGCACCATCAGTTCTAAGACACTTCACTTTATTTAAAAGAAGCCAATATACAGGATATAAAGGGCATGATATTTACAACAGTACAGTAAACAGGTTGGTTTCCGGTAGGATCAGTAGTCTTTCCGTGAGTATAAACCCCCCTTCCCTGTGATGCTAGACCCAGCTGGCAGACAACAGCAACGGTGGGGCAGGATGGAATCATGGGGTATAAAGTCTCCCTGGATGGGGCTAAAAATCAGGTAGATGCAGAAACGTCCACAAGGGGTCTTGCAGGGAAGGGCTTTGCCTCGTTTCTTTGAGGGCTTGGGAGGGAGGGGTCTTGGTGAGGGATTTGCCCAGAACTAACACACAGCCCACCCTGAGCCTGGAAATCATCCATTCATAGAAAATTCCCTTCCAGAGAGAATCTGGCTTTACCTGCACCCACCCAGCCCCCTCCAGACTCCCCACTTCAGGAGAGAGCTCTTCCAGAGCCAGAGCTTGGTGTCTCAAGGGGGAAGACCCCTGTCCTAGGAAACCCCCAGCACCCTGATCCCTCCCCCAGGACCCTGGGGGGAACACAGCAAGGACTGCAGCCCAGGCTTGGCCTGGAGTAGGCACAGCCAGGGCTGGGCTATGAGCATCTTATGCCATTTCCACTCCTACTCCAGCTGCCTGACCACCTGGGACCCACAAAGGCCTAGGCTCCAAGGAAGTCATGTACTCCCACTGTCACCCATGCTCTGCTGCCTCCCAACCCTCTCCCAGCGCAGCTGAGTTGGAAATGGATCTCGGCAGACCAGAGTCAGAGTAACTAATCAGAGCCTACCCCCAGAGCCCAGCTTGTCCCCTCCCTAGTGTGCCTTGGCCCTTCCCCCACCCACCACACTTCTGAATTTCCTGCAACCTACCCCAAGACTTCCAAGAAACTGAGGGGTCAGAGGAGAGGAGAATGGGGTGAAGTGGGACCTACAGTCTGCTGAAGCTGCTCATGGGTGTTAATGACCAAAAGTGAGGACAGAAGACGAGGCATGGGGAGGGGAATGGGTTCTATTCAATCCGGCAACAACATGCACCATTTCTCGTCCACAGGAGAATGCTGGGCTACCACAACTGCCTACCCTAGATTAAAAAACCCTTCCTTTCATAAAAATAGATGAGAGTCTCTTGCTTTATAAATAGATTACATTTAGCTTAAGTTACATCTTATAATCTTCCCCCACCCCACCCCCTCTCCTCCCATTCCTAGCGTAAGTGGTTGAATTCTCCCTAGGTCATCTGAGTTCTACCCACAGAGTTAGTCCACGATGGATTTGGTCCTTCAGGGACCTCAAGACATTTTCTCAAGACAAGAAGGAAAATGTTGGCTTGCCAATAATTTTTTTCTCTGTTTGGAGTCTCAGAGGAGTGTGTGTGTGTGTGTGTGTGTGTGTGTGTGTGTGTGTGTGTGTGTGTGTGTGTGTTTCACAACCAACCAGGGAGCCAAATGGATGCTAGTCTTCCTATCCCTCCCCAATCCTCTGTTTGTATAAAACCCCCAAAAATAGGAGACAGAGGGCAGCGCAGGAGAGCCCATCTGAGAACAATTCTAAAATACCAGTGTCAATATGACACCGGGCTTAGAAATAGAAAGTCAAAACTAAGTATTTACAGCTTTACAAAGGATGGACCAATTCATCCCAGCTAGGACTGGTGCTGCCCCAGCGAGCTTTGGGGTCTTTCTTGGCAAGCTGTGGGCTCATGGTGAGGGGACAAGCACAGCCCACTGGCATTAACTGAAAAGAGCATGTGGTGGAGAGGCAGGCAGTCAGGCAGGCCGGACCCCGGAACCAGCCCAGGAGGCAGGCCCATCACACTCTGGCTTACCCTCTCCCACCCACCTGCCCCAAGTCCTCACTCCCAAGAGGAGAGCAGATATTAAAAGCCAGCAGGAAGGGACTTTCAGGCCAGGATCTCTTTCTGGCTCCTGCCATTTTCAAACTCCCTAGAGTACCCTAGTTCTCAAAGACAAATGACCTATGTATACAAGGAGGAAAGTAAAAATAATACCGCCAGACACCGATCACCACAGTAACCTGTTACCCTCCAACGCTAACACTGCTGCCTTACAGTCTTAACTCTAAAGATACGTCTGTCACCCTCCCACCACCTTGGGGAACAACCCAGGGCTGGCTTCCACGCTGCCCACGAAACTCCCACACCACATTGTCCAACGCCTCCCTCAGCCCTGGACGGAGGAGACCCACGAGGGTGGATGTTTTCCTGCCCTCGTGGAAACGGAAAATCTTTTTAGCAGCTGAGGTTCAAGCCCAACTGGCTCTGATAACCTTTGGTTAAAATAAAAATGCAACAACAATAACAACAAGAATCAGGTATGTTTGAACCCTGTAACCTTTAGAACAAGGGTCAGTGAGGAGGAGAGAGAAGGGCCGTCTCTCTTCCAAAACCATTGTCCCTCCAAGTACCTGCCAAAGGGAACTGTTTGGCTAACAAGAGATGCTGACTATGGAAGAGTCACAGCCAGACTGCCGCAGGGGACCTGTGGGAGGTGCCCCCAGCAAAATAAAACAAAGGAAAAAACTCATGACGAAGGCCACCAAATCGTGATAAATTACATCACACGTAGTCACTAACACATTCTCACGCTCTCTCTCTCTCTACGTGTATCTATTATGTACAGTATTTTCAAGACTGTAACACAGGTGGGGGAAACAGAAAACAGAGAAGACCCTTAAAGGCCATGGACCTCTGGGGACCACAATCCCAGTCAAACCCAGAGCCCCCTCCTCTGCCTCCAGACAAGGCAGAGGGACCCAAGTTCTAGTCCTTGGGCACATTTTGCTACTTTGACCACTAGAGGGAGCTCCTGGGACAACAAAAAATTAAAATTGGCAACAGACCCACTGCAGTAGGTAAAAAAGGTTAAAAAATAATAATAAAGCAAAGCCTGCTCAGCTGGCTCCAAGCTGAGATTTGGAAGGGGGAGGGTCGCCACACAGTGCCCTTCAATGCAGGCCCACTCAAGCCATTCCAGTCTTGGGGGATACTGACTCAGATCAACACCCTGACTGGCCAGTCAAGGGAATTGCTGAGAGAGGCTTGCGTGTGTCCAGGAGCAGAAAGAGGATGGCCCTCACTCCAGCTCCTGCCCTGCCAGCAGCCCACCAGGCCTCTCTCCTGCCAGTGGCCAAAAGCGGGCAACTGCCAGACAGTCCTAACCCAAGGCGGGTGGAAGGAAGCAGAGACCGGGCCTGGCCCCTTCAGACTTTCTCACAGAGAAATTAGAGATCTCTAACCCTCTATTGTTGACTGGCGACGGAGGGAAGAACATCAAGTTATCAGGGCAAAAAGACCCCCTTGGCCCCTGCCCTGAACCCGCAGAGGCCCAGAAGACAGCAAGCGGTCAGGCAGGCCAGTGCCTTGCGGCAGCCCCGGCCTCCTGACCAACCTCAGCCAAACCCACGCTACCCAGTCAGTGCTGCGACACACATCACCCTAACCCCGGCCTCCCTCCCAGCTCCAGGGGGAAGCCAGGAGCCCAGGAGAGGTCCTGCCTTCCA